GCTGTTGATTTAGTGGTGCATCCTCATCCACTGCGACAATATAGCAAAAGTATTCAGTTAAAACCACAAACTTCCCTGTATTGTATTAAAAATGAATATAATAAACCAACACAAGTTAGTGCTGACACTGCCTTTAAACTCCCTTATTAAGTAGGTGGAGTCCACCCTATTTATTTTACATTCAGTAAAAATACAGCTGGTCTATGAATCCCTGAAATAAAACTATTTGGCAAAGAGGAATTAGGAGGAATTGCTACCTCAACAAGTTGGAAAGCAGATGGAGGTAGAAAAAGACATGCAGCTTTAATAGCACAAAAAGGTCACTCTATAAGTCCTTCCCTCATAGGATTAATATGCACTCCACTTTGTATTGTCTTGCTTGATAAAATCCCAATAAAATATGTACGTTTTTTTGGGTTGTTGTTTTTTTTTACTTGTAATGTCATCTACTTTATCTGTAGAGCGATTTAAAACAGCTAACAGCTGAAAACAAAGTGCTGAACATAGCTAAAAATTATAAACTTAATAAAAGAATAGAAAAATAAATAAAATGAAAAAATAAAAGAATTAAATACAGCATTATGATTTAAAAAAATGTTTAAGCTAAATCAAAAGTCATAACTAAGTCCTTCTAGTCTTAAAAACCAGCCTTGTTTTAAACTTGGTCAGTGAATTTATATATAATAAAATTGGACAAATTTAACAGGTATGAATATTTTTAGTCATGTCTTTAATCAAAAGAAGCAGTAACATTTTTTTAGTTCAAGTTGAGAAATAAAAAAAAAAAATGATGAGGAGCGTTCCTATTTATCCTTTAACATACAACAAATTAACTTCTCCGTAAGATAACATTTTCTAAAAGCCTATGTGAGATTACCCTAAAAGGGAAATCGTTACATTTAGCGGTGGCGATATGGTTGCTACTGTTACAAACATAATATATATATATATATATATATATATATATATATATATATATATATATATATATATATATATATAAGAGGATATTAGGAAAAGCACAAAGTCCTACAGAATGATCTCCTTTTGCAAAGTTTTACTGGCAGAAACATTGCCAAGTTGGAGTCCTCTGGGTCTTTAACAAGTTTTTAACCTCATTAGCTGACAGAACTGTCATGTATCGGTTGTGTTTATGTTCTAAGCCTTTTTTTCCTTTATGTGACTACAGATCACTTTAGGTTTGCCAAACTTTGTGTTCTGTCTGGATAATGGCATTGTTGTTTATTTTTGTCTGCATATGGCTCCTGTTTGACAGCAGCTGGAAAGCTTGTAGCTGAAGTTTATCACCTCCTCACATAGATTAGAAACACACCTCATCCAGATAACCTTCCACAGTCTCACAGCTCTGCCATGGAGGTGATGGGGGGAAAGAAGTTGGAGGGGTGGGATTTATCTCATGCTTGCTGGGACTTTTCTCAGAGGATGCTGTGAACACACTGCCCTCTAGAGAAACATTGCAGACATCTGCAACAAACCATAACCCATTGTTTCAAAAATAAGTCAATTCTATATATTCCGCGTCCATTTCTTTTTCTCAAGACAACATTTGTGTTATAGCATTTTAAGAATAACGTTCAACAAATATTGATTTAAATATATGAAGACGTCTTTTTTTTTTTTTTTTCATCAGGACTTTGAGAAGCCCAGTCCACCACAGAAACCCCTGCCTGCTGACCCGTTAGGGCGGAGCTCTCGGCGTGGTTACAGCATCACGCCAACAGGGGTCCACATCCCGGGGGCTGGAGCCATCCCAGTACCTATCCCCAAGGTTCCTAGGCCTCCACCAACTATCCCCTTACCCAACAGGTCTGTCAAGCACATAAAAGGCAGATTCTGGATTATATGCCAGCATATCTGACAACTGACTGATATAAAAGATATTTGTAGAATTTATGGAATGAAAATTTTATTATTTATTTTTTTTAAAAGATGAAACCGACGTATAATTTCTTCCATTTTACAACTAAGGTGCATCACAGAAAATCACATGAATACACCTGCTGAACAAGCAGGTGGACATGTGAATACTTTTGTACCTAAATCATTTTACTCTCCTTGTTCTGCTCCATTAAAACTGTTGACCTTTGTCTGTTTCAGACCTGTGCCAGCGTTGCCCTACAGACCACCAAAGACTCAGGAATGCTGAGATCTTGACATTGTGGATAAGTGGAATAAGAAAACTACACAAAACAGAAAGGAACAAGAAAAACATTCTCGTTTTTGCACTAATTATTTGGACGAGAGTCTGTTGGACATTTTGAACTACAAGAAAAGTTACTGTGCAAAGTTTATGGAAGAACAGGGGATGACCGTCACACCTTGGTGCTACACCTCTAAAAGGTGCTTTGCTGTCTTCACTCAGGTACTCTTGAACTATTTATCTATTTATTATTTAACTCTTATGAGTTTGTGCCGGATGAAGAATTTTCCAGAAGGAGAATTTGAGAAGACAACAAAAATAAGGTCATTTTTATGTTTTACATTATTTTGTGTTTTTTTTTAACTTTTTCTTTTTCTTTTGATAAATGCTGTAATCAAAGATTCTTTTGAAACAATTGATCTCTCCTGGGTGATGGATTTGTTGACACATTCAAACTTGAATGAAAATGAAGAGAAATGGAGACCAGCTCAGTTTAGCAGTATTATTTATTTACTTTTTCCCTTCATGGGGTTTTCAAAACCAAATGTATTGTATGTTTTTTATTTTCTATTTTGCTTGAAATATGAAGCAGTTATGAAACCATGCAGCTTTTAAGATAAAAATTGAAAATGATTCTTATTGGCCCCCTAATTTCCTTTCCCGTGCGTCAGACTGGCTCCGACGTGACCTTCCAAGCATGTGTTGGATACTCAACATGATATCCTGATGCCAACGAGACTGCAGAGTGTGGACAATGTTTACTATGTGATAATGTTCTAGAGAATGCTTCTAGCCACCAATTCATCAGTCTTAATGTTGGTGTTTGTATGTTTAATGTTCACGCTCACTTTCTTCTCCATCCTTATGGCCAAGATGGTTGACCTCAGCACTGTCAGCTTTCCAAGTTCCACACATTGGATTACAATAAATATCACCCTCTTTTTTTATTTTAAGTTGTTTTCGATTTGTCTTTTGAGTTTCTTGGCTGTTTTTTCCTGCATTTATCATTAACTATTGTATCTGGTGTTGCACTTCCGGAGAATTTTTCAGTTCATTTAGTAGTCCACAGCAAAAATGATTGAAGTCTGGAACTGCTTTTTGTTTCTCTACAAAAATGTGCTCTCCTCAGAAAAGTGTGAAACAGTTGAAGTGATAGCCCACTGTTGGTAAATAAACGTTAAAGCTGTTGGAATTATATTGTTATGTATGTTCATCAAATTGTCTGTATAGTGTAAATATTTAGTATGTAACCATTTTCCCTCCACTTGGTCTGTTTGTCTTTTATTCACAAGCACAGAAACATAAGAACTGCTCTGAGGCTGTGCCCCGTTTATACTTCTTTTAAATGTTTTTAATATTTCAGCATTTATAAATAACTTTTCGGGCTGGTTGTTGAATAAGGAGCACCAATAAAAGATTTTTTTTTTTGTGAGAATGATGATTAATGTGTGTTTTTAATTTCCTTTTTACCTCCTCAAAAAAAGGTGCAACAAATGGATTGTTCATTTTAAGAAATGTTAGACTGTGGTTGGCTGATCAATACTGCCACCTGCTGGAAGATGAGGGAAGTTGCAGATGTAGGAGTCGCCTGGTTCTCTTATTTAAAGGTTTTCACACAAAAAAAGGTCATTAACAGAGATCAATATTAAAAGTAATTCAGTTTGAGGTGTTAATCATAGATGAAATCGTTTTTCAGAGTGATATATTTTTAGTGTTCATTTTATTAAGATGATCATGAATTACAACTCTAAAAGCCCAATATGTTATTTCCCATTAAAATTATATATTTCCTAGCAATAATAAAAAGCCTAAAAATATATATATATTTCCATAAAATTGACCAGATATATACTAGATTTTCTTTTTTTTTTACATAATGCATGACAGCATCAAGAGTGGCATAGAGGTTATCATCCTGTGGTACTTCTGAGGCCAGTCCGTCATCTCCACTGTTGACACTGTTTCCTCCTGGAAAATGAACTGTTTAGCAGAGGGATCATGAAATGCTGTAAAAATGGTTCAGCCTCAATATGTTCACTATAATAACTTGGATGGAAAATTATNTATATATATATATATATATATATATATAAATGTATTATGTGCCCTCTCTTTCTCCTCAATTTTTACATCTTCCTGTATTTGGCTAAAATATTCTCCTCTTCACCACTATTTTCCTTATATTTACTTATTTCTTCCGTTACACAATCATTGCCTGCTTCCTCTTTGACCCTATTGATCCCTCTATCATTCTTGCGTCTTGTGTTACTTCTCATAACACATACAATTTAACAAACTACAAACATTGCCTTTGGGAAGGTTAATAAGTGAAGTACGTGTATTCCAGAACAGTTTATATGAACTGCTTCGTTTATTCTTAACGTTAAAATAAACTGGTTCATGCTCTTTCTGTTTATGTTTGTAGCTTCTCTTATTCATGTAATATGGATTAATTTGTTTTTATTATGAAAAACAGACATTCATTTATTTTAAAACCATTTTTACAAAGTGCATCAACTTGTGTAGAAATATTATAAAGAATAAAAACAGATCAGAGGCAACCTTTTGACTTTATGACACAGCTTCCCATTAGTGAGCAAATTCATTTCTAAATGTCACCATATTTACACAATTGTGTTTTTTCTGCTATCAGCAGACTTTGGTGGCTGTTGTTGTAGCGTCTATTGTAAACACCAGACCCCCAGAGTCTATAGTGAGTCAAATCCCTATGTGTGTGTGTGGGTGTCGGTATGTGTGTGTGTTTGTGTGTGTGTGTGTGTGTTGTTAGCTGATGGCCGCACTACTTGTGGGATTAGTGGCCACATGACAGTGCTGGGTTGGGCTGGGCTCCCACTGAGCCTTTCACTTGGCTTCGCTTGCTGAGGGCGGACTGTGTTACTGTCTAACAGAGTCCTGAATGCTGAAGCTTTCCTAACTCAATCTGTGTGGACTTTGAACAGAGGTGGAGGTCAGGAAATTTGGAAACTCATCAGTGATGGAACAAGACGTCATGAGTTTGAGTGGAGAGGACTGCTTCGAGAGCAAGTCTCCCTGCTGTTCAGATTCAGAGGCTTTGAGTCAAGGAGACAAAGAATATGATGATATCCTGGAACTTAACCAGTTTGATGGACTTCCTTACTCTTCCAGGTTTTATAAACTGCTGAAAGAGAGGAGAGAGCTCCCAGTGTGGAGAGCAAAGGGTGAATTTATGCTTTCTTTGGCCAAAGGACAGTTTGTAGTTCTAAGTGGCTTTGCCAAAACTGGAAGAAGCTCACAAGTGAGTACATTTTGGCTACTTTAAATTCATACACCCCTGTTATAAAAAACACAAAATATTGATTGTGCTGCTGATGGACAAACTGCTTTCTTTTAGACAATAACTGATCTCCTTTTTGTTGTGCAACAGATTCCTCAGTGGTGTGCTGAATTTTGCCTCTCAGTCCAGTTCCAGCATGGTATGGTGGTATGCACCCAAATCCATCCACAGCAGGCTGTGGATCTCGCTCTGAGAGTTGCTGATGAGATGGACATCAACATTGGCCATGAGGTCGGATACACCATCCCTTTGGAGAATTGCTGCACCAGTGAAACTTTCCTAAGGTGTGAAAACGCAGTGCTTTCAATTATTAGGAAATAGACCCATGTGTTTTTTTAAAGCACAGCTATAACACATGTTGCTAAATCAACCCGCCTTTTATTAGATTTCAGGCGAATGTAGAACAAAAGATTGGAGGGAATCTTTTCAGCGGCTGCGTCACAGCTGCCCGGCTCCCTGTCGACCCATATGTCACACTCACCAGATGGGGGTCTCATAAGTTAGCCGGGGGACAAAGGAACTCAGCACTTTGGGGGGTGGGGGGAGAGGAGACAAACAAGCAGTAGAAAGTGAAGCAGTAATAAAAGTCAGTTGCTAAATCTAATTAAATTCCACAAGACCTTAAATGTTGACAGTGTTTTCATTAGAAGGACATTAAAGTCTTTGTAGGAGCTATTTAAATCGTATAATGTCAGAACAAAGCATATCTGATGATGGCTACATCCACTCATCATGGATTACTATAGTATTTTGTCAAAGGTCTTTAAGGAAGTAATAAAGAATAAGCTGGTAAGATTCCAGCATTCACCTTGACTGAAATAGTACCTTACGATTCATTGATTGATGATTGATTGATTAACTTTATTGATCTCACAGTGGAGAAATGTTCTCTTTACATCAGCTCAAATAGTCAAAGAAGAAGAATTTGGCAAAGGAAGAAAAAGGTGCATGGAATATATACAGTATATACAGTACGTCCACATATGACAGCTTTTTTAAAATAGTAGGATCATTATACTGGGTTGTTGCACAGGATGTGTACACCGGTATTTATATTTATGTATATAGTTAGAGCAATGTGTGTGTGTCAATTTCATTTAAACTGGTCGGTTGCCAACCAAAGAACATAGATTTGGTGTATAACTAAAGTCTCTGAGAATCTATTACGCTAAATGTTAGCCTGTTTAATGAATTTTAAATCTAGTTTTAGTTTGTGATTTTTTTATGTAATAATGTTCAAAATTGCAATTGGGAGCAACTTTTAACCCTCTGACTGCAAATTTTTAACCACTGTTAAAAAAAATAAAAATGGTTATAATACTGTTGCCAAAGCCCATTAAAATCATCACTCTCTTTTTGAATGAAAAAAAAGAGAAATTTTAAGCACATATGGGAAAACATATTCAGCTACCAGAAATAGTTAAGATTGTACCAATTTGTAAAACATAACGGTGGCAGTATCATGCTGTAGGGATGTTTTGCTATGTTTTGCATGGAACAGTAAAAAATGACAACCTCTAAACTCTTCACATTAAAGAAGATTAATTATCATAGCTTGTGTAGAATTGAAGCATTGTTCTGTTTTACTGTGGAATAAAGATCTATATTAAACATAAAAAAGTACAGTATTTAAAGTAGGGGAACATAAAGCTTCAGGAAGGCCTTGACCTGAACCATATTAGAAATCTCTTGATAATGCTTAGAAACTGCACCCAGAAACTCACCTATTGGAATGAACTGCAACATTTTTCATGAGATGGGTCAAATTTTTGGCAATAAGTCTGATGGCTATAAAACAGTGTGTTTAAAATGCAGTTTTCTAGTTTTATCAGGGGGCTATTCGTGCAAGTATTTCTGAACCAGAAATTGAAACTTGTGAACATAATTGCATGCATCAGTCCCTGGAATTTGCTCTCATGACACAGCATAATTCAATATATGATGAAACAAGGTGGTATTTCTTCCATCCTGCCTCAGGTATTGCACAGATGATATGCTGTTGAGAGAAATGATGTCGGACCCCTTGCTTGAGCGCTATGGTGTGGTGATTGTAGACCAGGCCCACCAGAGGACTGTGGCCACCGATGTGCTTCTGGGTCTTCTGAAGGAGATCGCTCTGCAGAGGCCAGAGCTCCGTGTGGTCCTTCTGTCAGCTACTGAACCAAGCCCCAAGCTGCTGACCATCTTCACAGCATCAGCTCAACCAGGCATCCATCTGGAAGTCCCAGAAGCTGGGGAGGTGGTGTACAGCAGCACAGGTGACAACTACTTCTGTTCTGCTCTCTGTCTGGTGTTGGAGATCCATCGCTCAAAGGAGCAAGGGGATGTGGTTGTTTTTCTGGCGACAAAGCAGGTAAGAAGCAGCTCTGGACCACATTTGAAATTTTAAGTCTAAAAAGCTCACTGAGTTTCCTCTTTGTTTATCATCCTTCAGGAAATAGATCTGGCACAGAACATCCTGTGTCACAAGAAGAGTAGCTTACCACCTTATCTGGGTGAGCTGCTGCCTATAGCTGTGCATCCTGGTCAGTCTGGGAGTTTACCAGTCTGTGGGGAGGAGGAGATGGGCCAGACAAGAAGGGTGTTCCTCACACGCAGCCCAAACGAAGACTACTTCTGGGCCGTTAGCTCAATTAAATTTGTTATTGATGCCGGCTTGGAAAAAAGATATGTAAGTTTTGACCTTTGTTTTTGTGCTTGACTAATTATCCACTGATGGTGTACAACATACCTGACCTGCCAATACATGTGTTAGCCAATTATGAGCCGTCAATGGAAACTAGACTCCATTTTTTTATTCTTTGGAGAGCTTATTGTGCAGAAAGCTTTAATTACACATAGACATTTGATTCCTAATTGCAGTGGAGACTCATTTTAGTGTTTATTACATTACATTTGCATTTGAAAGTATCTTTGTTTTTGAAACCCCATCAATGATGATAAGAGGATCCTGCTTCCTAAATGGACAAAAAAATATATATATATATATTTTTTTTTTCTAGTATTATTATTCATGTAAAAAGTTCAAAAGCATGTAATTCTTTCTCATTGTGTTGCAGGTTTACAACCCCAGAATCAGAACAAATTCTGTGACCATCCAGCCAATCAGCTCATGGCAAAGTGAGTGCCGCAGACAGCTGGCTGGTCCAACAGGTGAATAATTCAATCTGTAACTGGAAACTTTTGAAAGACTCTCACCAGCCTCCGTCTGGCTACTCCTTACTGGTTAGATAACCTGTTGCCTTTACAATAATCTGGAAGCCGTGGTGGCATAGATCAAACAAGGCATCATGAACAATCCATAAAAGAATTGGTCCATTTTGAAATAAAAACATCACACAGTTGCAGTTAAATGCCCACACATGGAGCCAGACTCCCCTTTAACCACATCTAGAGGCTGCTCTGTTGTTCTTGTGACTTTGCATACTAAGAGCACAGTGACAGTCAATATCATGTTCAAACATACTCATTTAAGAAGATGGATATGTTGTGGCTTTACACCAACATTAACAGCTTGCAAATTCTCCTTAAACCACCCACCATCCAAGCTAATCAGTGTCTACCACTAATACCTGTTGATGCATTTTTTCATGAATTGGAAGCAGTCCAGACAATGTTTTTTCCCAATCTGCTATTGTTCATTTTAGTTTAGCCTGTAGAAACTGTTAGTTGTTAGTTGTTCCTGTTTGTTGGGAAAGCGGCAGCCTAGTGGTTAGGGAATAGAGCTTGGAATCTTGAGGTTTTGAATTTGAGCCCCACTCCCACAGACTGCCACTCCAGGTCCCTCAGCACTGCTGCCTGGGTGCTGCACAATGGCAGCCCACTGCTCCCCAAGGGGGATGGGTTAAATGCAGAGAGTTCATTTCATTGCTCTGCATTTGTGACAGTGTAATGACAATAGAAAAATAAAAAAAGCTGGGGGAAAAAAGCTGGAAGGAGGAGCGCCGGGTGTAGGCTTCTGCTGTGGTAGCCTATTTTCAAGGTTTGGGTCAGGAGGTTTTCAGAAGATTCTCTGTTAACCTGAGAAAATTTTCTACAATTAAACAAATTTGCCTAATAAAGTGTGCTATGACACAGGTAAATCTGTGGTGCTTATCAAACTGTGGGTAAAATAACCTCTTTTCTGCAGGCAAGTGTTTTCGCCTTTACCCAAAAGAGAGACAGCTTCCTGCAGAGATTCGTCCCCATATAGTGGAGTCTGACATCACCTCCACTGTGCTCTTCCTAAAAAGGATGGAGATAGCTGGGCTCGGTCACTGTGACTTCATTGACAGGCCAGGTGAGGTTTATGTGTTCATTGTGTTAAACCAAGAGTTTTAAAAAAAATAATAAAAACAAAGAAAATTCTGAGGCTTTGGCAGCAGGTTAGTCTGTGTCTGTCCCCTAAAATGTGCTTATTGTCGGAAGCCAGAGTCTCGTTGTTCAATCAGTTTTGTTCGCTGTTTGTTCTTTTTTATTGAAAGGCAGTGAGCCATGCCTCAGCTGATCTGACAGTTCCTGTTCTACCAGCATCCTTTCAGAGCTGACCTCCATCTGAGAGCTTTTGTTCTCGCAGATTTATTCAGAAAAAAAACACAAAACACACTTACACACACACAACCCTATTAGCTGATTAGAGCGCAGGCATGGCAAGCTGGTACGATGGTGACCGGATGATAATGTGCTGCATTCCTTCTCTTCTTGTGTCATTTTTCTTATTTCAAAAGAAAAGACAAATGAAATCACAGCAGAAACCAGTTTTCATTTTCTACAGCAGTATAAGGCAGATGTTGCTGAGGATTACATGTTTATAATCTGCTGCCCATTCGCTCAGAGGATTCCCCGCAGGGTGCTAGACTTTGGATAGTTAATGTAGATTTGTGTGGAATTAATACTCACCCAGTTTAAATACAGTTAAACACACTCATAAAGCAGCTTTCCTTGATTCATGTCAGGATTTTGCAGATAGGTATTTCAACATCTATTTTAATACGCACAGTTTTTGAAATTGCTCCTTGCAGATCCTGGAGGTCTGATGCAGGCATTGGAGGAGCTGGACTACCTAGCAGCTTTGGATAACGACGGGAACCTGTCTGAGATAGGCATCATCATGTCTGAATTACCGCTGGAGCCCCAGATGGCCAAAACTGTGTTGGCCTCCTGTGAGTTTGACTGCGTCAGCGAGGTGGTCATCATTGCTGCCATGCTAACAGGTAATATTTGGCATTTTAAACCAGTCTTTAAAAGAAATACCAGAGACAATTTAAAGTGCCCTGCAAAAATTATTTCTGAATATTTTTTACCATTTGTTTTATTACAAACTTTATTTGATGAGTATAATTCCGGGACTCAATAGCTAACCTTTATGTGATGTATTTAATTTTAAGAGTAATTCCAGCTGTGATGCCTAATTTAGTTTGGTGTGTTAGAGAAAACTGGGGCTCAAACAGCATCATAGAGACCAAGGATGTCAAGGGGTTCAGAACGTAGGACCCAGAATTCAAGCAGACAGATAAGGGTGATTTCAAAACAAGCGTTTATTAAAGAGTTAGTGTGCGGCTTCTCGTCAGCTAGGGGAGGGTCACTAGATACTCTGTAAAGACCGACACTCAGGTTAGTGACTTCAGAACTCAGACGGGAATCGATAATGAGCATGTGAGTCACTAACCTGGCAAAGTTCAGTCTGAGCCCAGAAGAACAAGTGTAGTCCAGAGGATTGGTTACTCCGCAGCTTGCGGGGAGAGATGTGGGGCAGCGATGAGCAGAAGAATGCAGATGGATAATCCAAGGCAGAATTGAAGCAAGAACAGGTTTCGAGGCCAGAAGATCAGAAGGATTTAAAGGCTGGGGTCAGAAGACAGGTCCAAGGTTGTTAACAGGCAGAATCCTGGTAACAGTCTGGAAACAGATCAGGCACACAAAGCACAACAGGGCAAACCAAAACTCAGAAGTACGGCGAAGTACAGAAACAAGTCAGGATCAAAAAATCAGAAACTCACAAAAAGGCTAGACAAGTCTCGCACTGGACTCGGATAATCTGGCACAGATGGCTGGGAACAGGCAACTTAAATAGAAAGCAGGAACAGGTGGATCCGATGAGCAAAGAGCCAAATCCACCCATCATTGCCAAGAACATGACAAAGGAAGACACTAGACTGCTAAAGAATACAGTTGTAAAGGAGTTTGCTGTAAAAAAGTGGTGCGAAGCTTTTTATGTATCTAAAAAAGGCATTCAGTCCATCATTTAAAACTGGAAATTGCTTGGCTAAATTGACAACCTACTAAGACCTTCCAGCTAAACTAAGAGGATGGCGAGTATTTATAAGAGAAGCAGCAGAGAGACCCATGGTACGTCTAGAAGAGCTGCAGATGTAGGGACAGTTTTTGAATAGGCTGACACTTTTAGGTATACTCAATAAATCTAGCTTTTAAAGAGGAGCTAAAATAAAAAATAAAAAGTTGAAAAAATTGAAGAATCCTGTACTGTTTTCCACGAACCATTTATGGGCAAAACTGATATATAAAATAAGGGGTTCTGGTCAGATCAGACTGTAGGTGAACCATGGTAGTGGCAGCACTATACTGTGGGGTTGCTATTCTTCATGAAATCACAGCTGATGGAAAAACAGAGCTAAATGCCTAAATCATGAAAAAAGATTTGTTAGTTCACAAACAAGTAGCTTTTTTAGATTTTTATAAACGTGAAAAAATTGGGGTTGAAATATGAAGCAATCTGAAAAAGTTCTCTCTGTGTGAGTACTTTTGCAGACACTGTCTATATCCACCTTTTCTAAGCATTAAGTTGGTCTCCTTTTAGCACCTTCTTGCTACATGGTTCCTCCGGTGGAGCTGAAGCCAGAGGCGGCCCGATGTCACATGAAGTTTCAGCACCCAGAAGGAGACCACTTCACTCTCATCAATATATTCAAGGCTTTCAAACAATGCCAACAGGATGCTTGTAAGTTCATACAGGAAGTGAAAGCTGTCACAGTATGCTGCATTATTTGCACTTCACCATTTTACTCTAAACATATTTCCCTCTTCTCTCTCTTGCTCTGTCAGATTGTAATGAGGAGAAGTGGTGTCAGGACTTCTTTTTTAACTATGCAGCCCTGCTGACGGCTGATGCTCTTCGAAATGAGCTCACAGACACTCTCAAGAGAATCGAGCTGCCCATCTCAGCGCCTGCCTTTGGCTCCAGAGGCAACACAGTTAACATCAAGAGAGCCCTGCTTGCAGGGTTCTTCATGCAGGTCAGATATGGATGCTCCACTGGTGGTCCATACTGAATACAGCTATATTAAGATGTCTTTTTTAGCTGAATATATTTACATTTGCACTGTTCTGAGTCCCCCCTACTTAAATTTAATGTACTGCCTTAAGGAAACATAAAAATTTTAATCTAAAGTGACTTAGAGAAAAATAGATTTTCAAACTTGATGGTAAGTGATATATGATAAAAATAAAAATAATTAAAGAATTAAAAAGAACTTATAAATTTCAGTTTTTAACTCAGATCATCAAACAAATATTTATTTTAAACAAATAACCTTTTAAATCATGAATCATGAAGAGACACATTTTCAGACTTTAGTTTAACTTCCACATCAGAGCCTGATCAATGTCACTTTACTGCAACACATTGCTATGCAAATCTTAACAAATTCATGAATACCTGTTTTCTATTATTAACTCTTCAGAAATTAACAGTTACAGTACTTTTGTTGACATAATTGTTTTTTTTTTGTTTGTTTGTTTGTTTTTTGGGAGGCTGTGCAGGATTCAATTTCCGACCATGGGACTTTTGCAGTATAACCGCTTCTCTCGCACTCTCTGATAAGTTGTATTAGATAGACAGTGTTGAAAGGGTTACAAAGCCATGCTTGTGTTTTAGGAGTTTTACCAAAACCATGCTTTCTTTTATTTGAGGAAATTAGCTTTTCAAATGAAACTGGCTTTATTTGAAAAATTTAACAGTGCTAAACCAAAAAAAACTTATATGTCATATGTAACTATCATATGTAACTAATATTCAAACCTTTCAAAAAGTTGGATTTTATGTACCGGTAGTTAGTCGAGAAAATGTTTTTTTGGGGGGCAAATTTAGGAATGACATTTGTGTCCCCACAAATGTTTTTAACCATCCAATAGATTCGATTCTTCAGTCTTTTTATCTTTAAATTGTAAACACTGACCTTAACCACAGAAAGAAGGCCTGCAGTCCTTTAGATGTTGTGCTGAGTTATTTTGTGACCACTCAGATGAGTTTTTTTTTTTTTGTGCTGTTGGAGTAACTTTAAATGGTCCAGTCACCCCAGGTAATGGGAGGATGGAAGTTCTTGTTGTTGCTCTCTGGCTGCATTAAACTTTCAGGACTAATTTGGATAATGTAGCGTTCCTCGGCTGTTCTTAAATTTCTTTAGATATGGGAAGATATTTTGTGTTTCTGGGTCTTTTAAAGTCCTTGATGTTGTTAAAAAGCTAATATTAAAATGAAAGGTCAGTGTTTAAATCAGAGCTACTTCATGATTTAACAATGAGGAGACATAATATTATATTTCCACGTATTGTGTTTGGTTTGGAGACCTTTATTCCATCCATAAATTAGACCCATATTTGAAAACTGTTTTTGCATTTATTCATACTGTTTATATGTTGTCCCGGTATTGGTTCCTTGGGACTTACTGTCTTATTTCGCCAACAATTTAATGAAAAAATCCTTTTGTCTTTACAAATTATCTCTTTGCAGTGACTTTCTCTTTTGCTCTGATTCCCCTCAGGTTGCTCGGGATGTAGATGGATCAGGAAACTACTTCATTCTGACTCATAAGCATGTGGCACAGATCTGTCCTCTCTCTGGATACGGAGCCAAGAGCCCCAAGCTGGGCCTGCCAGAGTGGGTGCTCTTCCATGAGCACACATTCTCAGAGGACAACTGCCTCCGCACCATTACCCACATAACGCCAGAGGAGTAAGCCTTGTTTAACTTTTTCCTCATTGAGCAACTGCATTTATGCATGCAATATTTCAAAACTGGTGATTTTGCTGATTTACAAATCCAACTGTGGTCTCTCTGACGGCTTGAAAGAGCCCTGCAGCAACCCTGTGGTATCTTAGCTTCTGAAGAGGCTCAAACCTAATCAGACAGACACATTCGCCTTACCCTTTTATACCACGGTTAAAGCCTCAGTTGGAGAGATACTAGTCCTGCTGCCTGTGGAGCGAGGAATTACAATCCTGTTCTTTAGTATCTGCTTGTTGGAGAGAGGATTATGGATTGCACAGATCCACAAGAATGCTGAGTAGCAGCTTAATGCAGTAATGTAAAGCTTTGTGAATGTGTGATCCCCCTCTACGTTTCGTTGTTGCAGATGTTGATATAAGCCCAGACACTGAGAGGAATACAAACAGAAAAATGTTTGAAAATCAATAAAACATTGAATCATTTCAGTACATTCATATCCATTAACATGAACATTCTTCTCCTTTAGGTTCATTCAAATGACACCACAGTACTTTTTCTACAACTTGCCGTCGAGTGAGAGCAAAGACATCCTGCAGAGCATTCTGAACCACGGATCATCTGAGAGCACTGAAAGCAAACGCTCATCATGCGAGGAACCCCAGGAAGGCCAGACGTCTGATCGCTGCGTCGTACAGTGACTTACAGACCCGCTGTTGTCAGCCATGTTTAACATAAACCCACTGCCTAGCTTTTCTTAACACCATCTGTATAGCTGTGCTGTTGTCCCATTATTCCAGATTACTACTTCTTGCATTTGCTTCCCTCTGTGTGTGCCCCTCATTCTTTTTTAAATCAGTGTTCTAATTTTATTCTGAATAGTAATATACACTGCACTAATATAAAAATAAAATATTTAACAAATTTCCTCAGAGTTTTATTTTCAGAATTACTTACAAGTGAGATATTTCTCATATACCAATCATGGTTTTAATGATTTAAGGCTTATAAAGGTGTAGAAGATACAACCAACTAATATAATTAAAAAAAAATGTTTGGAGCACAATTTTAAATTTAAAATTTATTTAGAGTAAATATTACTTATACAGGCTCAACTATTTATATGCACTATAATGCCTAATTTATTAGGTTACCAGTCCAGATCATTACATAACTTCAGAAGCCCTGGCAGATAAACTCCAGCTCCTCCACAGAGACACATTTGTTTAAAAAGAACTATAGACACTACAAAAAACTGATTTTAAGGAATATTTCTATGTTTGCATTGGATGTAGGGATGTAAAACACACTGGCACTGGAATCAAGAGCAATGGAGAAATGTTCTCTATTATGCCACGCCTGATTGGATTGTGTCAAGTGTTTTATCTGGAGCAGAGGAGATTATGGAGCCGTTTTCTTAAGCTTTGCTCCTTACCAGAGCTCATTCTTCAAACAATTTGGTGTGTTTGTGATCATTGCTGTGTTGCAAAACTATTTTCTTAAATTTCAATAATCTAGCTATTTTTATGGGAGGTAAAGTTTTGTCATTATACGTTGAACCTCCTGGACCACTGGCAGTAAAACAATCCTCAGGGTGATGCTGTATCCACTGTACTCGACAGATGGCAGCGTTCTTGGCTTTAAGGGCCTCAATTTTTTTCCTCCAAATACTCATAATTGTTGTAAAACAACTAAATATTTACCATGTAAAGCAAAAACTTCCCCACAGCATGTCTTAAGTCCACATGGCAGGGCGATTAGAAATTTACAGAATGATCCCAGAGATTGCTTATGGCTAAAAAAAATTAAATAAACCGTATCTTGCTTAAAGTGATTTATCAAAATATTAAACTGTTTTTATATATTCCAACTGTTATCCATAATGTTAACTGGCATATTAGAGAAAATCAACTATAAAAAGTGCAATCAGTTCTAATAAAAACAGTATTTGGTCATTTATTAAGTGATAGTGAAATGAAAACAGCTTAATCTTTAAAAGATTTAACTTAATCATGTTCACACCCATGACCATACAAATGTCTTATCAAGATTTGTGTTCTATGCTATTTTGTAACAAGTCCTTCTGGATCCGTTTTTTTCTTTCTCCTTTCTAATTGTTATTTTGCATCTCTTGTCTAAACCCTACCCTGCAGCCCAGAGGGTCAGTCTGATTAATGAGGTGCATGAATAGTTTGGACACACCTGCAGCTCCATCTGCTGTGGACTCACTTTAATGACAGTGAGGTCACAAACAGCCCCACAGTGAGAATATTGTCCTCCTTTCAACAGACTGACCAGCAAGGACACCTGGTGACTTTGTGAGAACACAGCGGCACCTTTAAAATCGACCACCTTAAATTAAGTGAATCCATGCAACCATTTTAGATCAAATACTGACATAAAGAAACATTAATCCACCTCCATTAAAAATTATACTCCTAGCTCTGTGTGAAATATGCATGTTCAAAAAAACACACAAACCTTTGAAGAAATTCAGCCAAACAATTAAAAATGTCTTTACTTCTTTTTAGCAATCCATGCAGCAAACCAAAACAAAAACACAAATATAGATTCACTTTCATACGCAGCATTGTGGACCCACATGCTGCTTGTTTTTTGCATTGAATGTTGCTCAACTATTGCACAGCTTCTAAAGCAGATATCATTACTTACATCAATTCAATCTAACACACTTTATTCACAGCATTACCGTACACCAAACACGGCACACAACCTGAAAGGTATTTGACCGAGACGTGATGAATCGGTCTCTGAGCCTTAATGAGTAAAAATTCTTTTAGATTTTCTGATTTTTTTTTTTTTTATTTTGCTGAAAAGTTACAAATTTCTACAAAATAGGTTATGGAAACCCTCAAATACAATCTAAATGTACATTTTTTTTACAAAACAGTTTAAAACTGGTGAAGCAAACAGAATTGCCAAGGTGCAGGTATGCAAAGTTATCCCCGCCCCTTTAAAGACGCCAAAAGCTTTTTGTGTGTTTCTTTTTTTTTTATCTGACGCCATAAAGCTGTGAATTACAGATACTAGAATTCTCTTCAGAACACAAAGGCATGAGCAGAAGGCTATAGCAGAAAGAATTGTTATTGAGCTGAAATCAGGTTTGATGACTCATATTTGTCAGCATGACAGCTTTTGGTTATTATCAAATAACTCATTTGACACTCTTTGTATGATAAATAACCCACTGTATTTCAATCTTTAGCAAAAATCTTCAGTTTGGTGACAGCAGGCAAACTATTGCGAACATTGAAGAATTTCTTTTTGCTTTAATAAGGATTGGAAAATATATCTACATTTGCAGATCTGAAAGTATACACTAAAACTACTCTGTTAATTCAATATCTGCATACATTATGGCTCAGAATTTCAATTCTAGAAGTGAAGGTCACACAATGGAAAGACCAATTACAGCCAGAGCGATGCATCTAAAACCATTTCAATGTGTGTCACACAGCTAATGTAAATCTTTTTTTTTTTTAATAACCCACAGGAAAGACGGTCGTTAATTGGGGTTCAGTGTGGAGAATCGAGTCAGCGAGGTCATCTCCTGGTGTTGCTCCAATTTGTTCACTCCTGTTTCTTTGTAACTGGTTTTATAGAGATGTTGATTTCATTCTCCAGCAGGGCTTTGCAACTGGACACACTGCCCAAAATAATAATCCCTGGTTTAATGTTGCAAATAACTGACAACATGATCGTATGCTGAGGTCTCTGTTGAAGCAAAATAGGCAAAAACAAATCAGCAGAGCCACATGCTGATCTCCCACATGCAACTCTGCATCAATGCCGTCATTTAGGAATAATTCAGCCCAGATCAAACAATAAAGGCACATACTGTAGAGCACATGGTCCTAAAATAGACGGTAGGCTGAAAGTTCTGCATTAAATAAAACAGAAGTTTAGCTTTTCAACACCTCATAAAGAACAGAAATAAATATGATTAAATGATATTACTCTGTGTGTAATCTGTTTATATAATCAGAGCTCTACTTTTTAAATATCTAAAAATGGTGCATATGTGAAAAACTGAAGAGTTTATATTCTAACCTAAATGGCAGACATGGACTGAAATTTCTTAACTACTTAAAAGCAGAAAACGTTTTGTAATGACGTATCAGAGGTTTTTTTCTCTCTGGACATGACGTGGATGCTTGGTGTAATCTGAGTTGAAAAGGCCTTTAATCGAGGAACCCATAACCTCTGGGTGCAGACTTGCTGCACAGAAAACTCAGCTGCTCCTCTGGTTTTTCAAGCCTTATTAGTTGCTGTGTTTTCACTTCCTGTTAAAGTGGTCAGCTCCTGCAGGACCTCGATGTAGAGCTCTACGCGACTGAGGAGTGGTGCGTTTTTGTCAGCGCGCAGCAACTTGGAGTAGACAATCTTATAGTTTTTTAACATGTCCTCGTCTTTGTTGCTGGAAAACAAACAAATAAGTTAGCCAGTGATGCGCTGGAATGGTGGGAAAACTATGAGAGCACTATTGTTGCGATATTCTTTGCAAATGTGTGAGATTTGTGTGCCTGTATCTCAAGAATCTGCAAATGTGTAAAATAACTTATGCGTAATCCGATTTGCAAATATATATATATAAAAAAAAACAAATCTACATTCAGACCTACAAATGCATACTAAGATCTACAAATGTGTAGATAAGTCTGTGAACACACAGACACTTATTTGGTTACAAGTCAAGTGGTTTCTCGGTTGGCTCTTTACACACATGACTTTTCAGATCTGCAAACGCGTAGAGAGGATTCGTATGTGTAATATCTCGATTTGCTACCCTGAACGTTAGCTCGCAGGCTCACTTGCTCACAGGCTACATCTTCCTTCCTTCCTTCCTTTTTTCCTGCTAGTGTGGTTTATATGTCAAGGAAAGATGGCTGCTAACAGCGAGATGGATTGGACGTTTGAGGCTACAAATAATCCATGGGTAAGCAACTTCTTTGCAACAATAATGCCCCTATAGAAGGAAGACGCAGCCTGTGAGCCTGTGATCAGGGCACAAAAATCAGGCTATTACACATACGAATCCTCTCTACGCAGTTGCAGATCTCACACAGCAGAACTGTTGCAAAAATCACATGTGTAAAGAGAGCTAACGAGAAACAGCATGACTTGTAAACAATGATTTGTCTGTATTTCTAGGTGTTGAAGCCAAAATACGTCAGACTTAAGTATCTGTGTGTACAGACTGATCTACACAATTGCAAATCTTAGCACACATTTGTAGATCTGAATAAAGATTTGTGGATTTTTTTTTTTTACACATTTTCAAATCGGATTACACATAAGTTATTTTACACATTTGCAGATTCTCGTATAGATACACAGATCTTTTCACACACATTCAAATCCCACTGCACACACACAAATAGAGATCCAGACACACAACTCCCCGCACACATGTGCAAATAATATTGCAGCAATAATGCCCTCATAGAAAACATCCAAGCAGAGGTTTAGACTCCTAGTCACCTTGGTTTCCGCTTGGTTGTCGTCATCAGTTTGATTACTTGAAACAGCAGGAAGGAGAAACTTGGCTCAAACACACCAATTAACTTCAACACTTCCTGGAGGTCCAATCCAGATGAGGAGCCGCTGCTCTTATTGGGAGAGCCCACTGAATCAGCAGCAGATGGTTCAATCTGCTGTAGGAATAAAAGGAGTTCATGCTATATGAAAAAGCTTCAAGTCACAGAGGGGATCTAAACAACATTTTTATTTTCCTTACTTCTGTCTGCTCTTCCAACAGCTCCTTATGGATTAGCTGGAAAGCATGGCGGGTTTCTGACATGATCTCTATTGCTCCAATCAGGCTCTTCAACTTAGCCACGCTGCTGCTCTGACCTTTAAAAATGCAACACAGAACATCTTTAGGAAGCTTCATGTATAAATACCAATGTTCTCTAGTTGAGGAGGAAATATGAGCCCAAACATCATGATGAAGGGTTCCCTACCTGCCATGGTAAACTCAGTGAAGGCCACCCTCTCCAGCAGTGTGCGCAGTAGCTCACATGGAGCATCTTTGAGGCTGAGGAATAAAGAGACAGCTTTGCTGTAATGAAGCTCAGCTAGGCTGCGATGTTGCTTCCTTAAGTGTTCATCCCCCACCTGTAACACAAGCACAGCCAAAAAGTTTGGTTATTGAGATATTAGAAAGTACCACTCTAATCATACAAATGCATTACACACAGACTGTTTATAAACTTATTTCTGTTCATTTTGATCTGTTAGGCTGGTAGCTAGAGATGATACGGACATTGTATTTCATCAGTTTTTAAGAGGCAGAAAGCTTCCAGTTATGGCATCCAAAAAAAAGTTACATGAGTAAGTAAAAGCAATCTCTGCATGGGGAGCTCTTTGATAACGGTGTCTGTGAGCGGATCTGTGTCCTACTTGGTTTCGGAAGCAGCTGTGGTACATGGAGGCCAAGCGGTGGTGGATGGTTGCAGCTCTGTACTGGTAAAGGGGCTGCCGGGCGGTCTCTGTTTGCAGGTCGCAGTATTTTAAGGACTTCATCATTGCGTCTGTCACCTCTCGTTCAATCTGGCATGACACAAACAAACCATTATTCACATAACTTTTGATATCATTAAATTATATTTTGCACTGAAAATGTGCATCTGACTAAAGCAGGATATCACTTGAATTGAATTATTTAAGTTATTCAACTGAAAGACTTCAACTCATATTCTAAATATATCACAGCTTTTGTTTTTACCAACAGTGGGGAATAAAGTATTTAACTGACCAGTGATTGTGCAAGTTCTCCTAGCTAAAAAAAAGGAAGATGCCCTTCATTTTCAACTGTTACAGACGGAATAAAAAAAATTTTTTTTTTAGAAAAATAGAATTTATTTACAAATGATGGTGGAAAGTAAGTATTTGGTCACCTGCAAACAAGCAAATGTCTGGCCTTCACAGATCTGTATCTTCTTTGAGATGCTGATAAATGAGCGGCTGATAGAGCCAGGGGTTTCCCCCTGCCTAAGACAGTAGGTGTCCAGGCCTGTTTCAAGTTTGCCAGAAAGCAGATGGACGATCCAAAAGAGGATTGCGAGAATGTCATTAGGTCACATAAAGAAAATTGGAACTTTTTAGCACAAACTCAACTGATCATGTTTGGAGGAGAAAGAAAGCTGAGTTGCATCCCAACAACAATATGCCTCCTGTGAAGCATGGAGGTGGGAACATCATGCTTTGGGACTGTTTATTCTGCATGGGGGCAGGACAACTGATCCCTGTTAAGGGAAGCAAGAATCTCATGTATTAGATATGTATGTAGATTTTAAGCCCAAACCTCTTTCCATCAGTTAGAGCATTGAAGATGGAGTGTGGCTGGGTCCTCCAGCGTGATAATGATCCAAAACACACTGCTGAGGATCTAAAGGAGGGGCTCCATGAAAACAGAGCGGCCTAGTCATTTTCCAGACTTCAACCCCAAAGAAAATTAATTGAGTTGAAAGTTTCTGTTGCACAGCAACAACCCCAAAAGATCACCACTCTAAAGAAGGCTGTATGGAGGAACGGGCCTAAATACCACCTACAATGACAGCAAACCTCTGGAATACTGAGAGGAAATATTTGTTCTCTGCTATTGGCAACAAAGATTAAGCTACAAACTACTCTTGTTATTCACAAAATACTTATTATCCACCATATTTTATCATTTTTTTTCTCCTAAAATTCCTACAATAAGTTTCTGGATGTTTCCCCTAATTCTGTGTCTCAGAGTTAAAGTGTTCCTATGCTGAAATTTACAGATCTATCATTTTTCCAGAAGAAACTGACTAAAAACAAACATTTTTGCCCCACTGTATATTTGTTTCGAATACATGAGTTAATGCTGATGTGCTTCAAGTCACTATGTCCAATGTAGCAAATATATTTTTGTAAAGAAATGTCAGTATAATAAAGAGCATTGAATACCTTTATGGTGTGTTCACCCAAAATTCATGTTTAAGGCCTATTCTGCATAAATTACTGGATCGGTGCTGAATGGCACAAAAAGTGATCCCCCTGAAGGTCGGCTGAGATTTTAATTTGATAGCATCAGTAATCTTTAGATGCTTGGACAGGATTTTCAAGCTGCTTTTCTTGACAAAGTCAACAGTCTTCCACATGACTGTTGACCTCTACAGCTTATAACATAAGCATATCATGATTATAGCATATATAAATTCCTATTTCTAGTTAATCTATATGCCTGCTGTTCATATTGTCAGGGTTCCTAGGAGGTGGAAGTATAGCATCAGTATCATTAGGAGTCTGGTATAGTAGAGTAAGTATGGACTCACCTGTTCCTGGGCTTTCCTGGATAGTGGAGCGTAGTCCTGCAGAAGCGTAGCAAGGGTGAAATAGGTGGTGGACAGCTCCCAGTTTACACTGTCCCATACAGCTGGATGGCTCTTTCTGCTGCCTAATGCCCTCAGAGCTTGTAAGTAATAGTCTATGGCCTGAGGGATGAAAAAATAAAAAGTTGAAATGGATATAATTAGAAAATATTAAGAGACTTGCTGCTAAGAGCCCCTGATAGTAGACCTTGTTGTAGTAAAGGGCCTCCTCAGGAGAGAACTCCCCTCTGCTCTCGTCGGCGGACGCAGGACAATGAGCCTGAGCGCAAATCCTCATCAGCCTGCCCGTATTACACAGCAGTAAGGCCGTGTTGGTGCTGTCCCTGATGCTTTCAAAGTCCTTCATTCCCTTCTCAAAGAAGCCAAAACTCTTCTTCCACAGATCCTGCTCTGCTGCAGACACTGACTTTTTCGCTGCAGTAGAAAGAGAGACAGAGTTTAGCAAAAAATATAAACATTTTACCTCTATGGAAAAAAAAAAAAAAAACTGCGAAAAGCATTACGAAATTCAGCAGATGCCGCTAATTAACCTTGTTTTTCAGTCTGCATGGCTGCTGCCTGGTTCATGTAATAGACGCCCATCTCGTTGCGGATATTTCCCAGCCGTTTAAGGACCTGGGACAGCTGGTCAGAGGATTGATCTTTCAAGACCTCAGATGTAAGCAGTTCATGCGCCGCTTCATAGCATCGACAGCTAACAAACAGCTGGTACTCAGGGTCCATGGCCAGATCTGTTGCCATACTGAAGTCTAATGAGAAAAAAAAAGGTCAAAACAATGAATAATCCTTGAGTCAGAATGATGATTAAAAAGCACAAAGTATTTCAGAAGGAAAGGCCTGACCTTGGCAGCTGCTCTCTCTGTGCAGACTGTGCAGGATCTCCTGGTCCTCTTTAGTCTGGTAGCTATATTCCTCCAGATAAGCTGCCCTGTTGCTGGCGTTCTGGGCCAGCATGAGCTGAATATCTCCACACAGGGACAGGCACTGGCTGTGAAACTGGAGCACATGTGGGTGCAGTGTTTCACTTACAGAACAGTAAGCATCTGTGGAAACAATGAGGAAAGTGATGAAACCTGGGTTGTTCAATCAATTCAGGAACCATGCTAATTCTGTAAGGGGATGAAGATAATTATGCAGTGATCAATGTAACTTTACCTTTTTTAATATTATTACTCTACTAGCTAAATATTTGCAAAACTGAATATTTAAAGAAAGATATTAAGGAGTTAAAAAGCCATATTATGGAGGAAGGTTTGCCCACCATAACACTGCAGTGAGAGCTTGATGTAGCGCAGGGCTCTGCCGTACTTCAGCAGGTTTGTGGCTGCGTCAGACAGGACGTAGTACGCCTTGGAGGCTTTAAGGAAGAGCTCCAGCTTCATACGATGCTGCCAGGAGCCTGGGATCATTCCAGAGCGTGTCGGGTGCTTCTGGTCCACCTGCCCTGACCCTGCTGGGGACGTGGAAAATCCTCTTAGACATCAGGGTTTTATTCCATTTTCATGGCCTTTTGTGAAATAGTTGGAGAGACTCACCTTTCTCAAGAAGAAGAGAGATGCCTTTCTCCGCTGCTCCGTTGGCAGCTCCATCCTCATATTTCAGCGGGATGGGAGTGTTTGGATCTGCAGCTGGTAGATCGCTTTCCTTCTTGATGCTGCCATCTACTGCTTTTAACCCCTGCAGATTAAATAACAACCTTTATTTACATGCACATCACTAATGTTGTTCTTATATGGGGCTGGACTCTAGAACACCATGATGAATATCAAACCAATGCAAAAACTTGCCTTCAGTACGTAGCTTAGGACGTGTCTGCATCGCTCCTCTTTGTCTTGAGAAACAGGAAAAGCACAGCTTGGCTGCAGAAAAAGAACAAGATATTCACATTTTTTCAAAACCCCACTTTCTCCATCTTATGTCAGAATGAGGCAGAAAATAAAGTCATTACTCACTCTAATTTGGTGAGTTGATTTGTATTTCTCAGGTACTGAAAGCTCCCCGACAGAGCGGATCACGGCCACAGCTTTGCTATCGTCCTGAGGCCTGCCACAGTTGCTATAAGATCCAATCTCTTCGCCGTCCTCTGTCAAATCATCCTCCTCACCATCCTCTTCCTCCCTGTCCTCATCACTGTAGCTGTCTTCGGAGCCACCGGCCCGCAGCGACTCGCCCCCATCTTCGTCGGGAAGCTCGTCGAGCTGGAACAGCTCTGACAGCATATAGTAGGCTGAGGCAATGATCTGAGCGTGAGCAGTCAGAACAAAAGAAAACAATCAAAAAAAAGGAGAGAGGAGGGTCCTTCAGGTCAAGGGATTTCACCTCTTCGCTTTCTGGACTATCAAATGCTGACTTTGAAAGCTCAATATTAAAAAAAATTGGAGTTTCAGTTCTACAGCACCTACCTGAGGATGCGTCTCTGGATCAAGAAGTTTGACGCAGTTTAAGAGCAGAGTTCTGATTTTTCCATAGTGTTTTCTGTTCTGACACGCTTTCAGCATCAGGTTACTAGCCACTCTGCACCCCAAAGATATAAAAAGACAGAAGCTCAGTTCAACTTTTGATATATTAACTTCAGAAAATTTCAACTTTACATTTAACTTCCCATTAGATTTTCCACATTTTGCAGAGTTCATATGACTGAATGTAAACCATGTTTAATTGGAATCATGATGAACAAAATGAAAACCAATAAAGCCATCATATTGGATTTGGATCTTCTAGTTTAATAAGCATCATTAAATGTATTACCTTAAGTCTGAAAGAACCAAGAATGACCAAAAGCCTTTTACTATCAGAAAATATGTATAAAAATAATAAGATACTCACTTGTACAGTAAAACAGCCACAGGAAGAGTAAAGGGATTCTGATATTTCTCTTCTTCAGCCTCTTCACACAAGGTAGTAAGATCATAAAGCTTTACAATGTCACTCCCACTAGCTGTAGATTCAAGAGCATAACATTAAAAACCTTCAGATTCACAAACAGAGGCGAGTTTAAACAGTTTAACCAGAGTCTCTCTGCCCAACCTTTGAAGAGCCAGTAGGTGTGACCCTCTTTAGTACAGTTGGACTTCAAGAAGGAGAGGATATTTTGGGCAATGTCTTTTACTACTCTGGTAGAGAAAGTACAGTTCTCCAGATGAGGGATGTCTTCCGTTTTTATCATTTCGTATTTCTGAAATAAAACCAAAGAAAGCAGAAAGAGTTCATCAGAAAAAAAAAAGATCAACAAACTGTAATGAGAGCAGAAATTAGTTTTATTTTGCTGCTAATGACATAATGTGGTGATTCTCAGGCTTCTCTAAGAAGCGAAGGGTCACTTACCTGAACAATGCCATTGACGTGAAAACACATGACAAGCTCTGGAACGTTGCACATCAGGTTGTCGAGCCAGTAATCGATACCGGTTAAAATGTTAATTGGTTTGTTGCTGTCCCTGAAAAACACAGACAGCCAGAGTTCAAACTGGGCTCCAAACTGAGACCATTTTAATAAAATATGATGTTACACTTTTTGGAGACAACGAAGATCTTTGGAAGCAGGTCAGTTTTCTTGCAACCAATATGCATCTTAACATGAGAAGAGAGCAAAGCAAATAAACTCTTCCTTTATTCTAGCTCATTTGAGTTGCTAAAATTGCTTTAATTTAATGGCCTGTACTTATTATTATTCTCACTCAACTTGTCTACAACATAAATTTTTCAAAGGGCTTTTGTTTTCTATTGGAAACTCATAACAAATGGTTTAACATTCAGTTTTATTTATTCATATGCTCAATCAAAAACATTTCTGATCAAGCAATGTGTTTAATTCCAAGTTTATCTGGATGGTTTAGGATTTGATGGATTATGACTAGGCCAACACACATGTAGCTCCAACTGTATAATTAAAGTAGTTGCAATAGTGGAAGCTCCATCTCAAGTCTAAAACATTTGAAGTCCTTTTTTTAAAGCAGTCTTTTAAGGTCATTCAACTCCCAGCCGAAGTAAACTATCCCCACAGTATGATGCTTCCTCCACCATGTTTAGCTGTGAATATGAAGAGGTGCAGTATAATTTTCCACCCACAAGCATTTGGCATGAAAACATATAAAGTATTGCGACATCAGACAACCTCGTTCCAAAAGTTTGGCAAGCTGGTGAACTAAAAATGAAACTTATATTGTCTTTCTTTTAAATAACCTTGTCTCACTCAGTTTTTATATTATTGCCAGATTTATGATATTTGTGTCTAATTCTCCTAGCTAAGTGAATTCTTCTTGGCTGCATCTCTGACAAAATCTCTCATTGTCCAATATGTCAGTTTAAATGTGCAACGTTCTTTATATTATGATAAAACCCTAAACTGGGAGATCTTAAAAACTTGGAATACTGCATCATAACTAAACCCTGCATTAAAATTCTCCACCATAGTGACAGGCGGAGGGAAACTTATGAACAAGTCGTCCCGGGGTTATTTGAATTATTAACAGATTTTTAATAGTGGAGTATGTGCATCTTAATGATGTCAAACTTGTAAAGATAAAAACAAAAAACTATTGACAAAGAGTTTTGTAATCCAAGCCTCTGCCGTGATCAGAGATTACTTCTCCTTTGTGGCAGAGGTGCTGCCCTTTAGGTATAGGGGAGGATTTTCCCTAATTCTTGAAAGAAACCGCACACTCCACTTTTAAAGAAATGCAAATGCACAACTATGTACCTGCTCCAGAGAGGGAACGCCTGTTAAACATCTGCAAGAGCGTGCACAAGCCCATTTCTCCTCGTGCATGCTCTGTTTAAAAATTGCATCTGTTTACATCGTTCATACAAGCTTACTTTCTAAAAGAAGATTTGCAATTTTTCCACTCACATGACACTCAGCCATTTTCAAAGATTTGCGGTGAGAAAAGTGAACTTCAATGACTGACTGAAACCATAAGTCACCACACATATACACCTGAAAGTGCACATGCACAGAAAAAGATAAGTACCTAGGGACGAGCACGTAGGACAGCCTTACGTAAACCTATCACCAGAATGATTGACAATTAGAGGAGGACCACTTACTTTGATGATCCACCTGGAAAAAGAACATCCCACTATACCTTTAATTTCTGGGACTCACTGGTTTCCCATTGCGATCTCATTAAATGTTTTTGAACAGAGATAGCTCATCTGCATGAGTCGCTATGTGTTTACTTCAAGCAATGCAGCTTATTGTCATTTAAAGCACCGAGATATTACTTCATATCTTCAAATAGCACATTTTGCAATTGAATGAACTACTATTTTCTCAAACTTTGAGTTTATCCACTTTTTTTTCCATCTGCACTTTGCCCACTTGTTCCTATTTTCAACATTAAGATGTGTTCTTTTCTCTGATCATGTAAGCAGGATTTATTTCTGGATCTTTATTCTTAAAAAAGGTATTTAAATTCTTTACGTTGTGCAACTGTCTTCATTTAATTCATTAAAATCTCAGTAACATCATTGACATCTATGATTATAATCTAATAAATGTTTAAGCAGGTAAATACTGTTCTTACTACAGGCCAACCATAGACACTTTGTGTGCAGATAAATTTAAATTTCTAACACATTAGATGCCAGAAGAATATTAAGTTACACATACAAAAATATTTGCTTTTCTTGAAAAAAAAAAAACAGATTATCAATGAGAGAACATGAATCAAACATAATAACTAACCTTAATCTCAGACTGACAGCAGGATATCGACCCCCTCCAAAAATAGGCATGTTGGATCCAACCAGCATGTGGATATCCTCAAACGTCCACATGATGTTTCGCACAAAGTCGTTCCTTAAACCCTGTAAATACATGAAATCAAAGTATATGCAACAGTGTGTATATTTGAGTTTTCAACACCAAAAAAATAATCTGCTGTAGCAGGATTGTATATTGGGAAAGCAAAACAATGTGATGTTACCTGACTGTTCTCCCCTTCATTGAAGAGAGTAGGAAGGTTCTGCTCAGTTGAACCCACTGAAGTCACCTGACCTAAAGCAAAGTTGCCATCCTCTGGAACATTTTCCTGCATGTTGAACAACATAAGCATTTCATTTTTTTACACATTTCAGAAAATCAAATAAAAAATAATTCAGACCAAAGTTAGCCTTATATTTGTGTTTTAAATCTTTCTAAATCCCATGTTGCTCTCAGGGACAATTACTTCATAATTTAGTAGCTAAATAACCTGTTTGGGAGCATCTGTTTCCTCTGCTTCAGACATTGTGCTGGTGAAAGTAGCAGGCCAAGAGGAGCTGTACTCCTCGGCTCCATTCTCTTCGTCATCTTTAATCATGTCTTCTGTTACTGGATCTGCTGCCCCATCACCATTTATACTGCAAGGAACATAAGTTAGAGTGTTATTAAAGCATATACAGAGATCCATTTTGGCTGTACACCAAAACTCATCCAGAAATACAACCAAACACGCACCTATAGTAGAGGAACTTTGACAGGATGGCTTTCTGATACCAGTGTTCTTTGCTCTTCTTCTTTCTCTGCCATTTTTGATCTATTAGACGCTGGTAAATCTCTTTGAGCCATGTCCAATCTCCAGTCTACAACAAATACATTCGAGGACACAGTTACCAATCTTACCATGGAAATAACTCCCCCAACGGATTGTAATGAAACGTGATCCTGTACCTGTGAGGATCTCCTTAAGAGTTCCTGAGTATCCAGCTCATCCAGAAGCAATGTCCTTCCCACACGGTGAACAGCCATACTAACATGGGACTTACTGTAGGGGATTTTCAGAAGTTTTTTGATGTTCTGAAGAAAACAGAAAACAATATATATTGTTGGCTATAGGTATAATTTCAGAGACAAGTACAGAAAGTAGTGGATAAGCCCAACTGACTTCAGAATCTGATACGACATCCACGTCATCCCCTATGCAATCAATGAAGTCATAGGCCATCCCAAAACTGTGAAGATAAAAAAAATGTTTTACATTTAGTCCATCCTGTTGCACTTAGAAAATTATTTAAAAATGAAAATCAGTTCAATGTAAATATTTTTTACATACCGTAACATACAATTAAATTTGAAACATTGGTCATCCATAATTCTAAATGCCTGAGTTATATTGGAGTAATCGTGCCGGCATCAACAAAATCCTTCAAATATATCTCTCTGGTGATCAGCTTCTCTTTTTCTGACTAAAGTTTGATTGCTTTTCATTTACTTTGTGCTCTTTTGTGTTTGGTCAGATAGGGATCATAATAAGTTTGTCATGCATGACTTTAGATACAGTGGTGGCAATGCTGAAGGTGAGGTGATTTTTTTATGTATTGCCGCAACGTGCATTTCCTATGCTGCTTTCTTGACTTTTCTTGAGCCTGCCTAAAGGCCAATTTAAGGGCAGATTACACGTCTAGAACCGCACACATCAAATGTCGCTTGGGTGCGGTCGCAAACCAGTTTTTCTGGTATGCTTCTGCACCGTCAGTCTGCAATTTCTAGGGACTCACAGCAGTTTCCCACCAAAGCACAAGGGGGACCTTATTCGAGAACTCATGAGAACTTTGGCGGCGCCGGCGGGTGTGTTTATCTTTCAAATCAACAATGGCGCGTCTGCAAGACATCACGGTGTTGGAGATGTATCTAGAGTTGTTAGACATCAAAGAGGAACAGGTTCTGTTAATGGAGTAGGCAAAAAGACCGATAAACCTTTTGTCGTAGTTGTCCATTGTAGTTGTTCCTCGGTTTTTAAAAATGGCGCGCCATTTTAACAGACGGAAAGGCATACCAAGGACCAATCACAGCTGCTTTTTGTCTGCACACTTCCACTTGAGGTCTGCGATGGTTTACGACCGTCCGTCACATACTCAGGATTTTTTTTTTAGGTGTGGGACAACAGTTGCAGAACCTCTGCGCAGAGGGCGCGAGGGACCATTGCAGAGGCTATGCATCAGAAGCATAAAGGCCAATTTATGCTTCTGATGCATAGCCTCTGCAACCGTGTGTGGTTGCAGAAGTCTAATCTGCACTTAAAGGTTAGCTGAAAGTGATGGCAACAAGCTGGTGATCATCTACAGTTTGTAAAAGCACATAGCTTCTGTGACTAATGCTTTTCTTAATGCTTTTCTCCCAAGCATTAATTTTCTCTAGTTTAACACATATATGGGATATTTTTATTAATGTTGTGAAAGAAAATCAGAAGCAGGTGGCTAGTGACCAATTTCTGCAAACCTAAAGAGAATACCTGGAGAAAGGTTTGCTCCTGCTACTGGAGCCTAACACAGTGGTGCCAGCACTGCCCAGCTTGGAGTTTTCTCTCAGCCAGTTGGCAGGTGGCAGCTTTAGGTCTGTTTTCTCCTGCAGGAGGGCATAGGTGGTTGGAGGCGGGGCAGCAGAGTACTTGACCACAGCACTGCTTTTCACTTCGCTGTTGCCCAAACAAACCGTCATATCCTTCAAAATAAGACAAATATCATTTTAGAATTTAGGAATAATAACCAAGTTAATGTCAATCTATTCATTTAAAACCTTAAACAATTAATGCTGAAATGTAAATTAATGAGAAAAGGGTTATATTTTGCCAGAAAAAAATTAATGTCAAATCCACTCCAGTTGAAAGCCACTTATACATTATATATTAATAATATAATAATATAATATTAATACATATAATAATATATAATAATAATAATAATAATAATAATAATAATAATAATAATAATAATAATAATAATAATGATAATAATTATATATTAATACTTTTTTGTTGCTTAATTTTAACTTAATACTTTTTTGTCATGTAAGCTGCTGGTAACCTTAATTTCCGGAGGGAGTCTTCCCAAGGGATCAATAAAGTTCTGTCTAAGTCTAAGCCTAAGCCACAGACGTTAACAGACTTTAAGCCCAACACTTAAATGTTATAATCAATTTAATAATGAGCCCTTGATATACATTTTTCTACACGTCTGATTTTTCTTAGTTATTACAGATTAAAACAATGGTAATGTTTTAAAACTTTGTTAGTGAATAAGTACCTACATTTTAAATAAGGTGACTATAAGAAAGTTTGGTACTGCTAGTTTCAACAGGTTTTGATTTTCAATGAATGAGTGTAATTTAGAAAAATACACTCTTTAACTCTTATAACACTTAAAATTTTATTTTTTCCTACTCTTTCAAATCTGTATTTTCCCATACAACTATTATGCTTAGTTTTATACTGTGGGAACATAATAGATTTAAAATCTTTTGAATGATCTAATTACTTCGGGTGTTTTTATTTTGAAGAGATTAAAGACAACAATGCAAGTCACTTAAGGAAACAAAACATTATCTTCAGTAAAGAGAATAGCGTCTAGTTTTAAACGCGATAAAGATAGATTTGGTCTAATTACTTACATGTTTGCTGTAATCTCCTGTGTTTGCGGCTCCACCAAGATCTTCTTTTGAATGATCCATGGGAATCCCAGGCTCTCTGTCCTCAGCTGCTGAGCTCATAGTGAACAAGTGTCTTATTCCTCCAACTTCTATTCTCATCTACGAACTCCTAAAAACTGGAAAACAAACACTTTGCTCTTAGGACTCATGAAACAGCCATAGATTGTCTCCATAACGCACGAAATAACTTAATTGTTTAGACGAAGTCAGAGGTTATTCCAGAGTTAGTTAGATTGTCAAGCTAGCTCAACAAAACAGCAGATAGCGTGGAAAAAAAGTAGATTCACAATACCTTTAAGCGTTAAAGCTAACCCAAATTCAAATGATAACTTATTGGTGCCTGTTATAATGTAAATAATATATTGTTAGTAGTAAATAAACAGGTCTTAGAAGCCTGTAGCCTACCTTCCATTTGCAGCCTCTCTCACTGACAACAAGCTAACAACAACTTCCGGTTTAACGGTGAGACAAACTGCAGAAACGGCTCTTATTTCCTATTTATGAGAAATAAACGCGTTTAAAGTTAATCCAAAATATTAAAACTAATGACTTATATGCTACACATAAAACAATTTTTTTTTAAGAGAAGCATTTTTCATAAAACTTGTTGTTATGAAAAGAGACTTAAACCGGAAATACATGGAGGAGTTTTTTCTAGAAAGATGGAGCACCTTCTGTCTTATTCTAAGTGCTTTTATTCTGAAAGTCTCCTAGCAGACACAAATTGTAATTGTAGCTCGGGTTTAAAAGTATGGGGAACATAATCTAATCTAAATACATCCGTTGTTTTCTATTTATCTGTATATTTGTTGCACAGGCCGTCATTACAACTATCATAACAACTCTCTAAACAGACCCGTACATATCAGTGAATTGAGAAACAAAATAAAAACTCTTTCTATCCTATTTATCTATAAAATACATCTATAAGATTTTTAGGAATCGTTATAGTTAACTCCAAACTAAATATTTAGTTGGTTAAATAAATATTTATCTCCAAACCAAATATTTAGTTTGCAAATAAAATATATATATTTTTTAAAATATATATTTATCTCCAAAGTAAATGTTTAGTTTGTTGAATAAATAGTTATCTCTGAACTAAATATTTAGTTGGTTAAATAAATATTTAGCTCCAAACTAAATATTTAGTTTGCAAATAAAATATTTTTATTTTTAATAAACATTTAGCTCCATATTAAATATTTAGTTTGTTAGATAAATATTTAGCTCCAAACTAAACATTAAGCTTGTTAAATAAACATTTAGCTCTTAACTAAACATTTATTTATTTCCTTTTTGATAAAGCTTATAGTTCGAGTGGCTGAGGTTATCCTGAGCTATTTCTATAGTTATGCTGCTATAGGCTTAGACTGCTGGAGGACATAGGGATCCCTATGTCATCATTCTGCTTCATTCTATCTCTATTCTTCCACTCTGCAGAACCTGTTAGTTTAATCTCTAACATTATACTCTCTCTGCTTTTTCTACTATAGCTTTGCCTCATCTGTTCCTGCTTTGCTGTGACACCATCCTGGAGAGAAATAACAGCTGTGCTGCTGCCATCAACACCTTTGTTTATAGCTGTTGGAGATCAGCCTGTTTTTCAGTGTAGTACTGTTTCTCTGGTTGTGAGTTTCTGGATGTTCTCTCTTCATCCTCTGACATGGAAGTTGGCTCGGAGCCTGGCTGTGTGGTTCCTGGATGGTGCTTTCTTTTACAGTTGCTGTTTGTATCTCTGCTTCTGTCTCCCTGAACCCCAGTCGGCCTCGACAGATGGCTAAGAGGGAGTTTTTCCTCTCCACTGTCGCTACAAGCATGCTTAGTGTGATGGATTGCATTTGAGTCAATGAGTCGATGCAATCAACTGGTTTACCTTTGATAGAAAACCTTGAATTAATTTGACTGTATGATCTGGTGAACTGTAAAGTGCTTTGAGATGACGTGTTGTGAATTGGTGCTATAGAAATAACCTGAATTTAATTGAATTGTTTAATAAAGTAAGATTTTTATAAATGAATAAATGATATCATGAAAAAATGACTTGGAATAAAATTATTTTTCTCTTGAAAAACACGCTAAATAACCATGCATATTTCTCATATTTTCAGAGGCGTAGCCAGAAAATCCTAATAGGGGTGGCCAGTCAATAACCAATAAACATTGAGGGGTGGCCGAAAGGCATCAGAACCTCAGGGTCAATCTACACTGTTCAAACAGGAATTAGCATATTTTCTAAATAAAGACAAACTATACTTTCCTTCAGCCTTTGCTCACAAATAGACAGATCTATTTAAACATATATAATGTGTAAATAAAAGGTATAGTGGACAAAATTCTTTCAGGTTTGAGTTCTGGGGCAAACATATTTTACATAGTCATTACCTACTTTTATCAATAATCATTCTGCAAATTAATTATGTTTAAATTTACTAATATCCACATTTAATGATTTTTTTTTGTTATTAAAGTAATCATTTATCTATGATTTCACTGAAGACTCCTAGATGATTTGCAGGGGCACATCATTTTATCTTTACCCCAAATAATTCAAAATGTAGTTCTGAAAAGAGCATGAATTCTGTATTTATCATCTTTAATGTTGGTATATTGATGTGCATAATTACCCACAGTGTTTCTGTTGTCAAGTAGTTGTTAATATATGAAAAGTTTAAATGTTTAATAAGTTTGAACATTTCCCCTCAGAGTATTACTGCTGCCACAGTCTGTGTTACAGGGAAAAAATAGTAGGGGTGGCCAGTGATACCCTGGCCCCGCATCTAGCTCAAACGGCCCTGTAGCTGTAGCGGGGAGGAGCTGCGCAACCTGACTGCCTCACGCAAGTTCTGATTCCCAGTTAAGAAGAAGCTCATTTAGTTTCCCCAAAAGTTAAAGAAAACAGAGCCTATCGTTGGTATCTTGGGTGTTTTTGGATTGTGGCTTTGTGTGAAGTGTTTTTATTATATGTAACAATGGAGAGCTGGAAGAATCACGTGAGAGATCGACTTTTTCACAGAGACGATAAAGAAAAACTTCCATTTGTTGGCGTTTTCACTAAATGTAAGAATAATTTACTCTATTTCTGAATTATTTACGGTCCTCACCGCTTTGACATAGATACGTGTTTCTATCTAGTGTCTCAATTGGAGGAAAAACTTGAAATACGCAAACAGATTTTGGAGGATATTCAGGGGAAAAGGTTGTATAACAAATTAGATCCTCTTAAACCTTTATGTATTTATTTCATAACTTTTTTTTTTTTTACTACTTAACGTTTGTTTTCTTCTTTTTTAAAGTTTGGATATAGCAGTGGAATCTGGAATAAATGGCAAACTCTTTCAACTTCAGCTGAGAGAAAGTGAACACCTGGCAGACAAGGTGCGTCTAATACACGTTAATCAATGCAAATAATCAAATAAAAATTTGATCATTGCAAATATAAATAATTTTATATGAGTATTTTTGATAAATATAGGTTTTTAACAAATGTTATGGCACAGTCATCAAAATAAACACAAATGCATACTTGAAATATATTCATAAGTTTAACTTAAAAAGATTAAATTTAACGTTCTGATTATATTATCTACTTTTAGGACCTGCACATGCAGACCTTTTCATAATAACCCAAAGTTCAGTATCTCAGATAAGCATTTGACTTGAATAAAATCAAATTTAAATGCATTAAAAGAGGATTTGAAGATATTTTTTTTTTTTGCTATAGTCATTATATAAGTTGTACGACAGAAACCTGAATCGACTACTCTCTTCCTTGTTGTTCGATTTGTGCAATTTGTTGACCTTTCAACTGCTTCTATCTTCCCATAATCCAATCAGTCAATCCCTTCTGTTTTCTCCCCAGCTATCTCAAACTGTCTCTGACATGACCTCAGTCTTGTATGTGAAAGAAGCTGAGCTACAATACTGGCGCTCACGGTAATTTTTCAGCCTGTCAATTCCCAAATATCTATCAGACAAACAGACATGTATGGAAATAAATGATCGACCCTGAAATTAATAAACTTTATCTTAGAGTAGTGATGAAGTTCAATTTCTGGGCGCATACTTATCTGCCTACCAAAGTTTGTATGGATAGTATCAGTTACTATTAAAGTTGCGTCAATCTTATCAAACATATGATTAGTAACAAATACGTCCATTTGAAGGCTTATTTGTCTCCATATAATAAACTGCATGAAAGGTTCTGTTCAGAAAATCTATATTTATATAATATTTATACTTTAGGCTGAATTGAATGTCTCTAGAAGAATGATACTGTTTATATTCTCCCTAATGATTAACTAACAAACTTAACTTGGCTTACATGTGGCCAGAGGACTGTATGTTTGGCTGTTCTGCTCTTTCAATTCAAACTGAACTGTAAATAATCCAAAGTTACTATCAGTTGGCAGAATGACCCCACCTTTATTTAATCACAACATTTCTTTATGGTTTAGAAAACCATTATTAGTTTTCCAGATTTCCACCGAATTCATGATAAGAATATTATCATCTGGTATTTTCTCTGTGAAAACTTCCAATTTTAAAGAAAAGTATGTTCTGGATCAGCTTGTGTTTGTTTTCGATGCTGGATAGAAAAAAGTGAACAAATCAGAAGCATAGCATTGTGCAATGCTATGACGTCTGCAACAAATTGGGGAAAAAGGCTGCTCTTATGTTTTTGACTTGTACCATGAAATCTGATATCTTAAAGTGCAGAGTCACAGTCCTGCAAGGAGATCACTGAATATTTTAACATTTCTAATGTTCCAGTGTGTCCCAGTACCACCAAGAGGCACTCAATCTGGCTAAAGCGAAAAAATATTTAAAGGCAACCCTTATAGAGTTGGAGTTCACCGTGGAGTGTCAGTCCAAAGAGCTGACAGCCCTGAGATGGGAGCAGACCCAACTAAAGGAGGCTTTGGAGCAGGCTCAGAGAGACAACGAGCAACTTGTGCAGCGATGGATGGAGGAAAAGAGTGCAGAAGCAGAACGACTTAATAAACACAACGACATATCAGAAAAGTAGAATCAGTTTTGTGATTTACAGTAAACTTGACGTATAATCATTTGGTTAATTTTTTTCTAAAAATGTTTTTTTTTTTTTCTTTCATTTTACCAGGTGGCAACATCTGAGCAAACGGCTGAAGAAGCATTTCCGCCAGGAAAGGGAATCACAGTTTACTCCCTTATTTACAGAGACTATGGATGGTGCAAAAGGAACGTCTCTGTCAGTCAATCAGAGTAAGAATTCTCTATTAAATATCACACCTGGATATCACTCACAAGAGGTTTGAATTTTGTTATTATACCGTAAATCCTCTAATATTGGCCTGTATTCCATTAGTGGCCAGGTCTCTAATAGTGGCCGGTCTCGCTGTCGGTGGAGGTAAATAATGACCAGACTCGTATACAGGCCGGGGCTATAATTAGAACCAACAATGTTCCTGGGCAGTCCTCAACAACTTGTGATAGTAACATACATGTACGACAGAGGGGCAATGTTTGCTAACAAATCCAAGCCATTAGCATGGGAAGT